TATATATATATATATATATATATATATACTGTTATTTGTTTTTTCATTTGCTTTTGTAATTGTTTTTCTGTTCATTTACCTTGTTCCATTTATAAGGTCACGACCTAGGTTTTGTTTTTCTTTGTTTTGTTTTTAAATACAATGATTATAACATGTAGCTGTAAATTTAAAGTCTTCTTTTCAATCATTACAAAAACAAGTAACGATTAAAAATTATTATATTAGATGTTTGTAGGTGATACTATATATTAAGCTTATTGGTAAATTTTAACCAATGTATAGTCTATTAACTTGCAAAAATATGAAAATAAGCATTGTCTTTATTATTAGGATCATGAATATAACCAAATTAAAACTAAAACCACATTATTTATTAAATACATTGATATGTTTTATAAAAAATTTAGCTCTCTATATAAGGGGAGAAAAAGCACAATTCGCCGGGGAGAAAAAAACATTATGTGTATTTTCTACATATTAGTAGAGTCTAAAATCGATTAAATAAGCCTTACGAAACCCCTAAATTGTCAAAATTTTCGGGGGATTCGTCCCCCCCCCCTCTCCTGGGCCACTTCCGAAGCCTTTCAATCGAAGCTCGATCACGCCCACTTTGCTTTTGTCAGGGAAATCTGGCCCTTGGTCGGGGGCGTCGCCCCCCCCCCCGTCGGGGACCTCGGCCCCACCCCCTTCCCGTTGGGCAAATCCTGGCGCCACCTCTGTTCAAAATTTTATCTTGCTATTGTCCGAGGTCCAGCGCATACAGCTCAGTTTGAAAATAGGCAGCTCAAACATCAGAATAATTTGCATTAAGCAGATGGGTACAAAAAAATTAGCATATCCTCAGGCCGCCAATTTTATACGGTGTTTTCATGTTCGATTTAATTAATAGGCCTACCGTACTAGAACAATCGATTGTATATATAAATATCGAAAAGATCCCATCACTTAGCAACAATGTCACATAACACACATCATTATATTTATTGTTTTTAAGATACTATAACAGACAGCTAGTTGCAAGCTGTCTTTTCTATACCATCAAGATACAATCCCCATATTTTCCCCCTCTCAACGTGTTACATTCTTTCTTCATTTAGATAATCAATTCAATTTGTCAGGTATCCATCAGTATGGCGGGAATTCAAGTGGAAGACGTTAGCTACCGGCAGACAAACGGTTCCATCGATATACCGCACTTTTCACTCAATGTGTGATATCATAATTATAATTCATTATTACGGTTTTGGAAACTGGTTAGCGAAGAATATTTGATATTTTGAGATGAAATTGTTGAATTTTCGAGATAATATTATAATTACGTCACAGTAAATGTAAGATGAGTGATAAGAAGAAAGTGGTTATGCATCGGTCATCTCAGAAACATTCTGAAGGTAAGTTAATTTTAGAATATGTCAAGGCATGGGATTAAATAAATAAATATAAAATAAACAAGGTCGTGGGGTCAATTTCCACTCGAAACACTTGCGCGTTTTTCTCCCAAGTATTTGGGAACGTATGAGTATTCGCATGTGAGGGAGAACAAAATATCATATAAATATTTGTTATTTTTAATCATTAAGCACCAGTTATAGGGAGGTCGTGGGTTTGATTCCAACCCGAATCACTTGCGATTTTTTTTTGCAAGTAGGCCTATTTGGAAACTTAATATGTATACGAAAACACGTCAGGTAGGGAAAAACATCACTCCCATGATTTTTTCCTGACTGCAAACACATCGAAATAAACGACAAACCGTTATAACATTCGCGAACGTTGTGAAAGTTGTATACTCTGTCAGAAAATAACGTTAACACAACGTTGCAGCAATGTTTTTAACGTTATGTAAGTTCAGAAATAAATAAATATAAAATAAACAAGGTCGTGGGGTCAATTTCCACTCGAAACACTTGCGCGTTTTTCTCGCAAGTATTTGGGAACGTATGAGTATTCGCATGTGAGGGAGAACAAAATATCATATAAATATTTGTTATTTTTAATCATTAAGCACCAGTTATAGGGAGGTCGTGGGTTTGATTCCAACCCGAATCACTTGCGATTTTTTTTTGCAAGTAGGCCTATTTGGAAACTTAATATGTATACGAAAACACGTCAGGTAGGGAAAAACATCACTCCCATGATTTTTTCCTGACTGCAAACACATCGAAATAAACGACAAACCGTTATAACATTCGCGAACGTTGTGAAAGTTGTATACTCTGTCAGAAAATAACGTTAACACAACGTTGCAGCAATGTTTTTAACGTTATGTAAGTTCAGAAACTACGTTATAATAACGTATGGTTCTACAAAAGAACGTTTTGTGTACCTAACTGCAACATAAAACGTTAATATAACGTAACGCAGCCGGCTAACTAGTTCAAGTTATACAGTTTTTTTCTGTATATACATTTTTTCGGGTTAAAAAAAATTTATCTTGCCCTTACACTTTGAGTAGGAATAAGTAAAATTGAAGTAGGGATATAACAATGCTTTGTTTTAGAAGTACACATATATGGAATACTTTGAATTGTATTTTGTGCATAACTTACTACACCTGTCATTCTATTTCATTTCAAATTCTAATAAAAGAAATAGTATCGTTATAATTATAATTGTTATTTTAATTATTACATGCCATATTGTTTTTATTTTTTTAAATGTTTTACAATATTAATTAGCAGTTTCAATTATAGTTAGGCCTATATCATGATCATGATAATAATAATGATAATAATAATAATAATAATAATAATAATAATAATAATAATAATAATAATAATAATAATAATAATAATAATAAAAATTGCACATAGAAGCCACTTTGTTTCTACCATTTAGATGTTCTTATAATGAGAATAATACTAATGATGATAATAGTATTTGACAATAATGACAATAATAATAACAATAACCATAAGGATGAAAATAATAACAATATCAACATCAATAATAATTATGATAATACAGAAATACTTAAAAATACAATATTGTTATGAAATGGACATTTTTAATAATAATTATATATAATAACAAGTATTATTATTTTTTATTATTATTATAATTATTATTGAATTAATATTTGAAAATACAGATTACTGAGAAATAATAATACTGTTAATAAAGTATAAAAATGCATTTATCTTTGATGATTTAGAGCATAGATTGGCATAAACAATGGAAGTTGAGTGACAGTCGGATTAAGACGGGTTATGATCAGCATTATCGCCTTTTATTTGCCATCTCACCACAAACATTACATGAGCGATCACTTTCTATAATTCAGCACGCGACAATAGGCTTTTCATATACATTCAAGTTAGTTCAAATCGATTTGAAGAACGCTACAACACGAACCAATTTACTATTATTACTGCCAACATACATTATTTTCTATCCTTCATTCCACAGGAAAATTCACCAGAAATGGATCTTTCCGAAACTCACAAAAATCATCGGGAATGAAAAGTACAATGCGGGTAAATTAAAATAATTTATTACCTAGTATTCAGGTGTTATTGAGACGCTCAAATGAATAACAAAGATGGAGCAATTGATTAATATTGATGTATTATGCATAACCTTGAATTAGAATTAATGTTCTCACAATACCAGTCTGTTATAATTCCCTTTGGCAAAATTAGTATTACTTCTATTGGTTTAGAATGATTGATATTAGATATAAGCAAGCTTGATCCCAGGTTGGGAGATTAAGGGTCTGGAGCGAATGTACCCTTGGTTGAAATCACCTGAACTACCGCAAAACCTCGAATAGAAGCCCAATGGGCTTAATCTCGGGAAGATTAAGCCCATCTCATGTTGAAGCCCCCTCTTTGGTTTGCAAAGATAGTCACGAAAAGAAGCCCATAGGCTTCTTTTCAAGGTAGCATGGGTTTTAATTTAAAAGGGTAATTTAGCAAGGGTAATTTAGCAAGAAAACTTACTGTAACATTCTTTGAATTGGACGATCAGTCGTTGGTTTGCATGGTTTTTTTCCCAAACAAGAATTTAGTACAAAGGCATATGAGTACAGAATAACGACAGTCTTGGCTCATCCTTCTGATATCTCTATGCGCTTAACATTACTACACCGGTCAGTGAATCAAGCACCATACTCTGCTTTTTGGGGCGGTACAATACTATACTTAGGCTAACTTTTTGACAATTAAAACATTCAAATCCTACAAGGCATAAGTACCCACTTATACTCATGGAAGGGCTGATGTAGGACAGTGATACAATTATTAGCTTACCGGGCCTATTTGTCAAAATTTGAATTTCAATAAAAAAAATAACACGAATAATAAAAATGTGGACAACCGCTAAGTAGATATAATAACAAGGTTATTTATGGATCAGTGAAAAACACCACAATTTATAGACGATAATAGCTCGTATATCGACCGGTATGTCGATTTTTAAATGAGCATATTGGTCACTCCAACTAATTATTCCAACTAATTATTTTAAATTTAAATTTGTAAAAGTACTGTTATTTTCTTCCAGGAAACAAAACAGAGGGGTGATCGGTTGGGGAAAACAGCCAACGAAACAACTGACATGAGAAGTAGCGCCATGTCCTTCGCAGAAACGATGGCGAAGCTGGCAGCACAACAGAAAGAAAAGTCAAAAGGAAAGAGAAAGAAGAGTAAATGATGACGTAATTGAAAAATAGTAAATGATGACGTAATTGAATTTATAATAATTATTACAAAGTGCTAACAATTGATAAGTTGCAGTGTAAAATAAGGCCTGTGTTATAAGGAGGAGAGAATGAGCTATGGATATATACTACCCTGAAGATGTGTATTGTTAAGACCTGTCAGGTTGAGCCGCAGGCTACAAATACTGTAATAAGTAAATTCATAGGCAACATAATTGCAAGTTGTTGCAAGAGCAAAATATTTATTTATTATAATATTAATAGAATACAACCGTCTACTACACGGTGTTTCACGCTTAATGCGATTCTCAGGTAAGACTCAATATAACTCTGTACTACACATAGCTTTCAATCATCAGGTGGTAGACTTTTGCCTTGATGAGAAGATGTGAATCTGAAATGCAAATAAAGCTAATCTGTTAAATATCCAAATGCTGTAACAACAGGAAAATCTACCTACCACCTGATGATTGAAAGCTTTATATGTGTAGTACAGAGTTATATTCAGTCTCTACCTGAGGATCGCATGAAGCGTGAAACACCGTGTAGTCGACGGTTGTGTTCTATTAATATTATAATGAATAAATAAATATAAATATTATAATTATATATATATATCGTTAACATTTACGTAGGCACATCCTGCAATAGACATATAAGTCCATGGTCCATAACCGCAGGGTAACAGGAGCTGCCAATACACAGGGGTCACCCCCTACTCGTCTCGAAAGATGTATTGGGTTCTTTAAAGTGCAGTGTTGAGACAAAGGAAAGTAAGAAGGAGAATAATAATTAAAAAAAATAAAACAGAAGGGAAATAAATTTAGCAAATTCTACTTTAGACATGGAATCAAATTTTAACATGGATGTTATAGAGTTAAAATACTCTCTGTGATGACCAAGACCAATCGGTGTCGAACGCTCTTACTGGTTTTGGAAACAACCTTTTCCGTGTTGTTCTTTTGGCAAATTGGATAGAAAATCATCGGAAAGGAATAGTTTGCTTTAATCAGGATATAAAAAGAAACTCTTTGGTTCTTCTTTCACCAAACCAATTGTCACCAAAACAAAAGCTACGGCGGAACTGGTAGTTATTTCAAGATGAACAAACGTAAACATCAGAAACTCCCCAAACCGCAACTTCAAAAAACTGTTTACAACACCAAACGATATAAGTAAACTTTTAACATCCGGCATGCTTAATGAAATATTTGGTTTGCGAATTGTCTCAAAATAATAAAACGTTTAACGTGTAAATCTAGGAAGTACTAGAGTTTTTATTATCAATCGCAACTTATTGTTTCCACCAGCTCAATTTAAATGATTTTCAGGGGCAGCATCACAGGAAAACGTGACATGCTGGGTAATTATTCCGCCAGTGCAATGTCTCCCCTTTTTTCCCTATAAAGAAAAACAAAACACGTATTATCATAAAGCAATAATCTCTTCATGAAATAGCTACTGGTACCAGTGGTTTTACATGTATTTACTCCTTGCAGCAGATATGGCACCAATTCATAGGAATATGATTTCCACAGGCATCATTCATTGACTACTACAGTACTAGGTAATAATATAAATCACCCTCAGACTTTATGGTGTAGAGCGCTATCAGCATAATTATTACCTCCGCCAAGGAGGTTATATATTCACTCGTGTCTGTCCGCCTGTCTGTCCGTCTGTTTGTCAGCAAGATTACGCAATAACATAAGGAATGGATCGTTATTAATTTCAGTGGTATGGTACATAATAATCTAAGGAAGAATTGATTAACTTTTGAGAGGAAAAGGTCAAAATACAAGGTCAAGTTCACAGAAATTCGATTTTCCCCTTGAAAATACCTTTGATCATAAAAAAAAATAAAGGAATCACCCATACATGGCCTGCGTACTACTGTCGTTAAATCATCGGTACAAAATGATCTTATATAAATGTTATCTTATAGACAATCATCATAGATCAGAGACAATTAATAACTATTTTGAAACCAATTCTGAAACTGGGTGAGTTATCAGATGCATAAATAATAGTGATTTCAACTAGATTTTGGTGATATATATTTTAGGCCTGTGCTAGGCCCATTTTGCCCTATGAACACCACCACGATCTATCAAAATAGTCTCAGGAGATATTACCGTTTTTGTCTGCTTCAGTGATCGTCTATGTACATCCATCCCATCATAAGGAACTCGGAACGTCATAGCGAGGCTAACTAAGAACAATAGCTTCACCGCAAGCCAGCTAACGTATTACCGGTACGTAATACGTAGTAAGAACTGTCAAACTCACTTTCACTTGTTGTACATTAGAGTTAAAGTACCGGCTATCTGAATCCAAAGAAACAAGATGATACCGTACACTTTATAATCTGGCGTTCAATAACTCTAGCCGTGCTTTTATGCGTACGAATCAAAACTACACTGAAACCAATGTTAATCAAAGAAAATGTTTCTTTGCCTAAAAATGATATTGAAAACTGGGGCCGCCCCCGTTTCTATTAGAATGGACAACTGCAACATGTTGTCACTACTGTTTCAACTATACGCGCCTCGCACAAATTGCTATCCAGTATTAAATTCAAGCGTCACTTTAAATTTGAGTTTTCTCATGGTCATTGCTGAAGATGTTGCCCTCAACCCAGGACCTGAACGCGCGCGACCAGGACTGGAAACCCGAAACAACCAGGCGGAACAGACTCATCCACACAGATACGACTGTTTCAATCGTGGGGAATGCACTTCATACATCTGAACATTTGTTCTTTGTACTCTAAATTTTCCGAACTTAAACGTCGTTATACATAGTAGAGCAGTTGTGACATGGCTAGATGAAACGATATCTGAGTCAGAAATCAAGATCGATTTATGCACGACTTAAATGTTTGTATCGTCAAAGCTGTTATCTGAATAGATCAAATCGTAGACTTTTAAGCAACGCCCTTATATTTTGTCATTTTGATTATGCGTGTTGTGCATGTCTGGATTGACCAATTACTTCAAGTTACCCAAAATAAAGTTGCCAGATTTATTTATAACTGGGAAAATAGGTCCCATATTGGTAAGAAAGAACTAATAAATATTGGTCAACTTAATATTGAAAGTCGGGTTAAACAATTAAAGCTAAATCATGTTCACAAAATCTTCAACAATCAAGCAATACATGTATACTCATTTCTCAAAGACATCCACCATTGAAAATATAACAAGAAGAAGCTCTCATACATTTTACCTGCCTAAATCAGAGACATATGTCGAAAATACATTCTTCTACACAGCTGCACAACAATGGAACCTTTTACCACACATTTTATAAAACATTATTAAGAAGAAAAGATTTTAAAATTAAAGTTAAGGAATATTTAGTAACGTTTCATGAGTGAATGAAGAATTGATTTTAACTTATTTTATAAATTTGAATCATTGTCTTCGAAATTTTATAAGAATCATTTTTTCCATATCATTGTATATTTTTTTTTGTTTTACCGATTTAATGTTTTTATTGTACTTGTGTGTATTTAATGGACCCAATGGAAATAAGCTGGAATGATATTTACCGACTTTTTTTGGTTATCCATGAAAGACTTCCGTACGTTTTAATACATGTTTTTCTATTGTAATGTTTATTTGTGTTCAGTGCTTCCGAATAAATTCAAATCACCAAATCAAATCAAATTCTTTGTGGACCGATTTAGAAAATATGTGTGGGACTGTCCCAACTGTCCCAATAGCTGGCTACGGCATTGGATATTATGAAATATTAACAGTTATCATTCAATATTATCAGTCAGAGTAAAACGTTACTGTATATAATACTAATAAGAACATTTAAAAAAACACTGGGGTAGAGGAATAGCACACGTGGTACCACTGTACATGCTGTTATGTATGGCAATAGGCATATTTTATTAGATAAGCTTACCTCCGGGTCACAACTGAACAAGTACTAGACTATAATTCGATGTTATCAAACCAAGGATAAAACTAATGTCAACACTGCAAGTTTAACGACCTGAAATGAAAGTCAGATAGATTGTGGTCATTATTATATTATTGATATTATATTTGATAGCTAGCAGTGACACCTGATCAATGGACGAGCCACATGAGCTCAGGACCCCAAAATGCGACAAAACTATAACTTTTTGGTACTGGTAGTGTTATACGTTGAAAACTGGGGCCGCCCCCGTTTCTATTAGAATGGACAACTGCAACATGTTGTCACTACTGTTTCAACTATACGCGCCTCGCACAAATTGCTATCCAGTATTAAATTCAAGCGTCACTTTAAATTTGAGTTTTCTCATGGTCATTGCTGAAGATGTTGCCCTCAACCCAGGACCTGAACGCGCGCGACCAGGACTGGAAACCCGAAACAACCAGGCGGAACAGACTCATCCACACAGATACGACTGTTTCAATCGTGGGGAATGCACTTCATACATCTGAACATTTGTTCTTTGTACTCTAAATTTTCCGAACTTAAACGTCGTTATACATAGTAGAGCAGTTGTGACATGGCTAGATGAAACGATATCTGAGTCAGAAATCAAGATCGATGGCTACTGCATTCTCCGCAAAGATAGGATAATATCGCATTTAATGAAAGACCAGACCTTAATAACAACAACACTGAGCCGATCTGGATAGAACTGCTACCGGTACTTCCTAAGACCAAGTCAATCATAGTTGGTTGTGTTTATCGATCACAAACGTGTACATATACTACGTTTATTGAAAATCCCGGTTTCTTAAAGATGGGTCTATTACAATTTCTTCTCCTGTCACTTTCATCACTAACTTTTCTATTTCATGCAATACATTCCCAGATGAATTTAAGTACGCTAAGGTTATTCCACTATATAAGAAAGGCTCAAAAGAGATCCAACAGACACATAAGTGTTCTTCCTGTAATATCTAAGCTGTTAGAAAAGGTAGTTCATAAGCAGTTTATTGATTACTTAAATTAAAAGTCAAATTGGTAAATGATTTTCAATCTGGTTTTAGAGAAGATTATTTTACAGAAACGTGTTTAATTTATATTCACGACTATATTCGATATGAATCATCAAAAGGTAATTTCACAGGAATGGTATTATTAAACCTCAGAAAAGCATTCAATACTTCTTGATAAATTTAGTGTAATGGGCCTTTGCTCTAACTCGTTATATTGGTTTAAGTCGTACTTAGCTGACCGTAAAGAAGTAGTTTTTTCGAACAATGTTCAATCTAAATATTGTTTAATAAATACCGGGGTTCCGCAAGGGAGCATTCTCGGCCCGTTGCTTTTCACATGCTATATAAACGATATTTCTATTAGTACGAAATGTAAAACTATTTTATATGCAGATGATACCGCATTATTAGTTTCTGGTAAAAGCCCTGAAAATTTTGCAAATTGCTTAAGTAGCAACGTTGATTCATGTAACACTTGGTTAAAAAATAATGAAATCTTTCTACACGTGGATAAAACTGAGGCTATTCTTTTTGGGCCAAAGAGAAAAGTTAAAAATGTTGAAGATTTTCAAGTATATTGTATGGGTAAAGAGCTATCACGGAAGCATACTGTTAAATACTTGGGTTGTTACATGGATGAAGATCTTTGTGGTGAAACCATGGTAGAAAATGTACCGGTACGGTACTTACCAAAATTTATGCACGACTTAAATGTTTGTATCGTCAAAGCTGTTATCTGAATAGATCAAATCGTAGACTTTTAAGCAACGCCCTTATATTTTGTCACTTTGATTATGCGTGTTGTGCATGTCTGGATTGACCAATTACTTCAAGTTGCCCAAAATAAAGTTGCCAGATTTATTTATAACTGGGAAAATAGGTCCCAGATTGGTAAGAAAGAACTAATAAATATTGGTCAACTTAATATTGAAAGTCGGGTTAAACAATTAAAGCTAAATCATGTTCACAAAATCTTCAACAATCAAGCAATACATGTATACTCATTTCTCAAAGACATCCACCATTGAAAACATAACAAGAAGAAGCTCTCATACATTTTACCTGCCTAAATCAGAGACATATGTCGAAAATACATTCTTCTACACAGCTGCACAACAATGGAACCTTTTACCACACATTTTATAAAACATTATTAAGAAGAAAAGATTTTAAAATAAAACATTATTAAGAAGAAAAGATTTTAAAATTAAAGTTAAGGAATATTTAGTAACGTTTCATGAGTGAATGAAGAATTGATTTTAACTTATTTTATAAATTTGAATCATTGAATCATTTTATAAGAATCATTTTTTCCATATCATTGTATATTTTGTTTGTTTTACCGATTTAATGTTTTTATTGTACTTGTGTGTATTTAATGGACCCAATGGAAATAAGCTGGAATGATATGGATGATGTTAGGCCTATATTCATTGTTCTGGTTGTTGAAGACACAATAATGAGTTTCTGAGAAGATTGTTTTGTGATCAGTTCAATTACATTTTAATAAATATTATTGTGATTTGAAAGGATCATGCTCAGGCTCGTACGCAGGGGGGGGGGGGGAGGATGTGCGACACGCACCTTCCCAAATTACCGGGGTAGAAAATGCAAGACACACACCTCGCATTTTGCAGAATAATCACAAATGGGAATTGGTCCTCTTTACAAATTCGCATGCACCAAATAAAAATCATACATGCGGGCCTGAAGCTAACAAAACACACATTATTCATAGACACATGTCAATCGCATTTAGGAAACCCTCGATAAGCATTTACCCTAAAACTGTGGTCACAATTGAAGGCCACACCCAACAAGTAGTTATAACATAATATTGTAGAATCATGAAACTTCACCAACAGACCTTAATAAACTTGAGCAGTTATAGATGTAGTTCTGGCAATGCGGAATAAATATGTATATAGTGAAAAAAGGTCTGTACCATACTAACTCTCTGACTGGCAAAAAGCCTACAATACATACAAGATAATACGGATACAATTTACTGAACGAAAATGGCCAGAATATACGAAAAAACATACTGTACAACGAAATTTGACAACTACTATAAAACCTGACGAATTATGGAAAGTTGTGGCTTTATTGTAGACAACAGCTGCAAAACCGGAAGTGTTCATGTAAAACTAATGATTGAACATAGACTTTTACATACAGTTTGAGGCAGAATTTATTATATGATCATATTTTTTGAAATATTGTTTTGATTAGGCCTACTATTTTAATGAACACGTAAAAATTGCAAGAATGAAATTTGGATATATTTTTTACAATTTTCCAGGGCCGGCGGAACGTTTTTCAAAGTGGGGGTCCACTAGTAAGATGAATGGGAATATGAATTGAGGGAGCCAATCATACAAAAATCTGCATAGACATATATTTTCTGACAAAAAGTAGGGGATAAGGGGGGGGGGGG